TTGAAATGCGTCTTTTTATGGGAAATGCTACGGTCTTGTTACGGAACTATTCCATCGGGAGTTTTAACCGTTAACAGTCAGATATGCATGAATAGTACTAATCATAAAATGGGAAAATGCTACGGTCTCATAACGAGATAGTTAAAACTCTCGACGGAATTATTCGTAACGGAACCATAACATTTTTCCTTTTTATGATTAGTACTATTTATACGACAAGATATCCCATAATATTACCGTTGGATTGCATGGTCATTCGAATTATATATTTAACTTAAAGAGAAAGACGTATTGTGTTTGCCACATAAATTACCTTGTACATAATGTTTGTGCGGAAAAAATTAAGTGAAAACTTAAAAAAAAAAAAGGATTTGTTTACTCATGGAATGATTCCGTGAAGGATCATTTCATGACGGCTAAAATCTCTCACGGAATCATTCCATGATGGGACTGTAGACAAATACTAAAAAAGATGTAAGTTGGGGCCCCATTTAACAATTATTTCCAAAATAAATTAGATTTTTATTTAAATATTTATTTAACGTGTTAATGTATGTCAAATGTCCACACGGACCATACATCCACGGCAAAATGTTCTCAAAACAAAATGAAAAAAAAAAAAGTAAATTGACAAAAATATTATTAAAAGCATATGAAAAAAGCACGTTCCAGAACGTGAACCGACGACCATGCACGCCTCCATTCCCAATTAGCTGGTCAAAAACAATTGAAACTTCACCACCACCTTCACTGTACACATACACGCACGCACACGGCATGCATATAACTCCTTCACACGGAAATCATTCGAATCAACTCCTCAATCTCAGGGCAAAAGATTCGAAAAGTTCCCGATTTGTCCGCGGAGGAGGTGGTTGAAGAAAAATTCGCCACATTTGGAATTCAAACATGGAGGAGGGAATCCGTTTACAGGCGGCCACGAGCTCGACGGAGAAATGCAGAACATGGCGCTCCGTCCTGAGATGGACACCGACCTCCGCCGACCACATCCTTGCCGCCGAGAAACGCCTGCTCTCCCTCGTCAAGTAATGCGGATTTTGTGAAATTAGAGATTTTTTGGGGAAGAAAAATAAAGCCCTAATTGATGTCGTTTGTTAGGGATTTATTTATTTCGGATTTTGATTGTAATTTCTCAGGACACCGTACAAGCAGGAGAGGGTTAACATCGGGTCGGGTCCGCCCGGTTCGAAAATACGGTGGTTTCGCTCGGCGAGCAACGAGCCGAGATTCATCAATACGGTGACGTTCGATGGCAAAGAGGGGTCTCCGACCTTGGTGATGGTGCACGGATATGGTGCTTCGCAGGGCTTCTTTTTCCGTAATTTTGATGCACTTGCCGAACACTTTAAGGTGATAGCAATTGATCAGCTCGGGTGAGTGATTTTCCCTTGAAATATTTTATGAGGCCATGTCACTGGAAAAGTTTAGCTATAGTTTTGATTTGAGATGTTAATTTGACATTATTATGGAAAATATATACGGTCAATTTTTTCTAAATCTTCCTCTTCAGAGCACCTACAATGCATTGCGTCTAGTTTTGCCTACATGGGATATAAATAAACTCAAGTCTTAGATGACATGGATAAAACTATATAAAATTAATAAAATTCACTCCAATGCAAAAAGACTAGGTCTCTGGGTCCAAAATAGATTTAATGGGAGACTGGGTCTCTTTTCTGGGTGTCATATTAGCAGGACTAAGTTTACTTTTATTTGCATTAGAGAATATATTTTTTTAGACTGTATTTATTTCTTAGGTGGCATATAATTTTTTGGGATTGAACCGAAAGCATTGTGGATGCTCTAAGCATTTTGAATTTGGTTGGTCTTTTGATATGTTTTCTTGAAAATAAGCTAGATCAAATGCTTGTTCCTATTGAATATGAGAGTTTAGTTTTGGGTATTTCTGAAATTTGTCAAATCTTTGTCATTTTTTTCTTGATATTGAGTCAAAGTAGTGAAAATATTTTGGCAAACTCAACCTTAACCCCCAAAGCAACAACACAGGAACCAATTAATCGTGAAGGGTGTGAACTTCTTTGTCTCTTTCCCAAATTAATCTTGCATTCTTTGCTTGGGAGAGATGGAAAAAATGAATTTATCTTGTGAGAAAAATGAATAATTGAATAGGATTGAAGTTTGTTTGTGGACTCATCTAATAATCACCTTTCATGCAGTTGGGGTGGTTCCAGCAGGCCTGACTTCACATGTAAAAGCACCGAAGGTTTGATGTTTCCGTGTACAGAAGAGTCTTTGTGTTAAGTAAAAGGGATTTAAGATTGAACTGCCTCAATCTTTTTGTTTCCTATTTGGAAATTCAAATGAATCTTTTTCTTTTTTCAAGTTATAAATAATTTGGAATTTTCTTTGTGTTGTGTGCATCAATTGTACAGAAACAGAGGCATGGTTCATTGATTCCTTTGAAGAATGGCGTAAAGCAAAAAATCTTAGCAATTTCATTTTACTTGGACATTCTTTCGGAGGATATGTTGCAGCTAAATATGCACTCAAGGTATATTTGTAATAGCTTTTTTCCTTGATCTAGATATACTCCTGATAGTAAATTTATTGATTAAAGTAATTTCGTTGCTGCAACGGGTAGCATTCATTTATTATGTTCACTGCAGCATCCCGAACACGTTCAGCACTTGATTTTAGTTGGACCGGCTGGATTTACTTCAGAAACAGAACATAAGTCTGAGTGGCTTTCTCAATTTAGAGCAACATGGAAAGGTGCAATTGTAAATCATCTATGGGAGTCTAACTTTACTCCCCAGAAGTTAGTAAGGTGCCAGACTGCCAGTTACTTCCTCTAAACTCGTCGTAGTTCATATGCTGGAGTATTGATAGCCTTATGGTTTTCCTGTTTTATAAACCTTCCTTTGCTTGTTCTACCTTTCCTGAGTTGTTTATATTGTGACTTTATTGTAACTGTACATAATATAGACTATGGTAAGGTTTTTTTATTCTAAAGATACGTTAAATGCTAGCATGCTGTTCTATATATTATGATTTTGACACTCGTTGATTCCTCTTCTTATTCGGGTATGCAGCATAGGTTGTGGATGTAATATTTATTATGAATTATCAAGTGCTGCTTTGTGTTGTGAATTGGATGTGTATTTTCTTTGGTGGACACTGATTCATTACCTATCCTAATAAAGGGGTTTAGGTCCATGGGGACCGGACCTGGTCCGCAGATATACAAGTGCTAGGTTCTCATCTAATTCAGAAGGGAGTATTTTAACTGAGGAAGAATCGAAGTTACTTACAGGCAGGCCTACTTAGAACTTTTCGATTTTCAAGATTACTGATTATGTATCTAACCTGAAACTGCTTCTGCTTCTGAAGATTATGTTTATCATACTCTGGCGGCCAAAGCTAGTGGAGAGTTGTGCTTAAAGTATATATTCTCCTTTGGAGCCTTTGCCCGAAAGCCCCTTTTGCACTGGTGAGTTATGACATGCTATTATTTGTATTTAAATGAGGAGTAATGTTTGTTTTGGTAATGACTTGGATCTTATGGTTGATGGCAAAACGTTCTGCCACCTCATTGAATATTAGCTAATATTATGTTCAAATGGAAGTATCCATGTGAAGAAAAGTCTTCAGCAGGCATATTGTGTGACGGTCATACTTTTCTAGTAAAAAATCATACTTTTGGGCTGAAAAGTCTGATTTTTATGACAGCCTCATTATTTACTTTCACGACATTTCACGGTAAATGAATGGACGTTTGTAATATTGGTTTGTGGTGTTATTTGTAAAACATTATCA